AATATTAGAACTTCTATTTATATTTATTTTATTTCATCTTTATCTCTTCCTTTTTTAATTTCTTTTTTTGTGTATGTTTTATAATGTACATAATATATCAGTACAGTAGTACATGTATATAATTTATAAATAAATAAATATACACATATTGGGGGTGCGTGCTCAAAAATGTTTTACTGATAGGGGTGCGCAGTCAAAAAAGTTTGGAGACCACTGGCCTAGAGGACAGATAATCCCAAGCAGAGGGGCTGCACACTCTCTCGCTCTCTGTCATGTCTCATAGGACTCAACGGCTTATAACTGCTTTAACTGAGTCTTCCATGTCCTGCTATCTTGCACAATCTCCTTTAACCTTGTCACATCTTCACCTATCTCTTGACCTCTCATGCCTACACCATGTTCCAGAAGGATCAATGGTTGCCTACTACTATCTTCCCATCATTGCCCTGGTCTACTTCAAGGTCTGATACCCTCCATTTCAGCTTCCACAATCTGCCTCACACGCCTTTTTTCATCAGTTCTTGTGATATGCCCTGCCTGTTTCATTCTCTGCAGTCTTTTCTTAAGATATCAGGTCCTTTGTAATAGTCCATCAGCTTTTGATTATGCCTTTTAGTCCATACTCCATTTCCTTGTACTATACCAAATGTTTCACTTAGCATTTTATTTTAAAAAACTTGCAGCCTTTTTTCCATTTGCCTTGTCAGTGTCTAGGATTTACGTCCATATAAAAGGACCCTTTGAACAATTGTATTATAAAGCTGGATTTTAAGGTTTCTTGAGATTTTCCTTGATGCTATTATTTTACCTAGGCTTACCAGGCATATATTAGCACTGGAAATTCTTGCTCTGATTTCTTCAGTTATTTGATTGCCCTCAGTGACTGTTGTTCCTAAATATTTAAATTCCTACACCTTTTCCATATTGTCATTCCCTATTCTTATTTTCCTGTGATATTGAGATTTATTAATGGATCTGTTCACGTATTTAATCTCGCTGACATTGATAGCAAATCCAGTTTCTTTGGCATTTGGTTCAGTGCACTAACACAGCTAAATAGCTTCTGATAACTGAGATAGTACAGATATCTCTACAGGGTCTATGTTGCTCTTCAGGGCAAAGGAATTCTGGTATTGTCATGCCTAACCAAGAAACCACATTTCATTTCTCAGTATTGCCACCTGTGTCCTTGTTTCCCCCTCCCTCCCACTTTTGTCTCTCAGAACCCTCACTCATCATGTCATGTTACATTTTTTGGCACAATCACTACTGGGGCAAATTGGTGCAGTTCCACTGGGGTCATGGGTTGTGAGTATTTATACCAGAGAATTTGATGTATAGCCCTGCTTGGAGAGGACACTGCAAGCATACAGCTTGGCAGCTGCCATAATGCTAACTGTAGTGGAGTACTTAAGTTGTAACTACTGTTTATTCCTGTAACTTTATGTATCAAAGTATGTTTCATCATTTACCATATCTGAAATATATATATGGGAAAAATGAGTATGTACTTACTGAGTTGTCTTCTGGCTGGAGTATCTCCTCATTGCAAAAGCCACCATTGCTTTGAAAAGGTATTCTTCACTTGCATCCCAGGCATACTGTAAAGACAGACAAAAAATGAACAGTTTTTGCAATACTACAGGCAGGAATGGGGGCTGGATAAAACACAACTTGAAATATTATATCAGTCAAAAACAACTGTTTCACTGATTATGCTATGGCAATAACTTCTCAAATATTGTGTGTTGCACATAAAGGATTTTTAAAATGCCTGAATCATGCATTCATATTTGTGCATTTTAAAAAGCACAATGTGCTTTTGTACAATATGCAAAAAATCGTAACTTCACAAAAAACTGAATGGCTTGACTCTTGCCAGACTGACAGAACTGGAGATATAATTTTTTTTCTCGATTGTGAGATGTATCAACAAAAGCTTTCTCATGTTGCTGCACCAAAAGGCTTACGTCCTCTGCTAAACCAACCACCTCCAGAAATAAGTTGGCCATCCACTCCACCTGCTCATGCTTACTTGCTTCCCCTTCCAGAAAAAATAAGAGCAGTAATGGTACATGCCTGTACACAGAGAAGTAAAACTGAGGTTAGATCTACTCAATATATGTTCTTATTGGAGAAAGCAGATGCACCACACTTGCAACATTCTTATCCTCTGGACACCCCCAAAAAAGAATATCACATGCACATACACATCATTGTGGATTATTACTGCATGTATAGAGACTGAAGCACCCAGACCCTTTCAATAAATAAAACACACCACCAAAACATGGGCTTCAGCAGTATCTTTGGTCTTGGCCTCTGCTCTCACACTTATTAATTTTGGTTTCATCTTATTTCGATGACCTCAGTAGGCTGTGGACTTTCATCAGAATTTTTATGCTTAATTCTAATGACTCGCAAAAGATGAACCACGTTTCTATAACAAGAGCTATGATTCAGACAGAGTGGTTTAAACATTCTCTCTGCAAATTACAGTTTCTTGGAAATAGGTTAATAGAGTCAGAACAAATGCTTCCTGCATTTGTTCAGTGTACTTTACTGCAATCATCCAGAAAAAAGTGCCTACTCTTTAACTTTCAGTATAAAATGAGCAAACCCATAACCCAAAAGTGCAGCAACTTATGGTAACCCCACAATTGACCTTGAACCCTTTTTTCCAGTAGACAATTCCTGCACTCTCAAAATAGCAATACAGAACCAAACACATCAGAATAACTCAGTGCTGAACATTACAAATTTGGATTTTTTTTAATGCACAGAGTTGAAAATGTTCAGGGATTTCACTCTTTCTGCAGAAAAGTGGGACAGCGGGCCATCCCACCTTCTTTTCTGATTCTTTTTTGAGCAGGGATTCAGATAAGGGAAAAGGCATGAACTTATAGAGGTATTAACCATACGATAAACTAAAATAATAAATGAAGAGGTTTTAAATAGGCTTTTTGAGATAAGGACTAGAAGAGGAACATCTATGGACTACAGGTGTGTGTAGATGAAACAGGGGCCCTAAATTGAAGCAGTGGGTTTTTAAAAACACCACTTCAATTTAGGGTGAAGTAAACCCCCTCGTGTCATACACACACCTGTGCACTTACCTGCCTCTCTGGCAGTGGGGAGGGGAGGGCATGCTTCCAGCAGGCAGAGTGGTCCCTGGGCTGCGGGGTGGGCTGGTGTTTCCCTCCACAACAGCAGTGGTCCCCGCCAGGCACACCTGTCTGTAGATACCCAGCTTAGGCAGACCCAGGGGGCACTGCAGCCACGGAGGGAAGCATCAGAACCCTGCGCAGCTCAGGCAGGCTCCAGGGAAAAGGCAGGCAGGCTCCACTGCCAGGCAAGTAGGCCTCCAGGCTGCTGCCAGGCTGTCTGCATGGGCTTCCTGCAGAGCCCCTGAGCTGCATGGAGCCCGGTGCTTCACTCAGCAGCTGTAGGGCCAGAAACTAAAACTCCTTGGAGGACTTTTAGTTTGCTGCACCCCAAGTTATTTAAGGCCCATTACGCCACCAAATTTACTACAGCAGCTGGAATTACTGCACAGTACGCTGCCAATGCATGCAAACACCAACACTATTAAAGTGGTGCAAAAGCATTTAACACACTTCAAAGTGTTTGCACACATGCCCCTCATTTCATCTACTCACAGACAACAACTCAGGCTTTGGCTGGGGTTATAATGGAAAAGTAAATGTGGACTCCAGGGCTAAGCACAGACGGTCAAAAAAGCCTGAGCCAGAATCAGTTCAATCTTTGTGGGTTAGTCTAAGCTGTGTAAACTGAAGTGATAAGCAAGTGAACACACATTCACATTTGATTCTGGAAATGTAGCTACATGCCTGCAGTGGCCCAGGCCAGAAGCCAGGGAATGCTAGAGCATGCCTCCCCACTCATCTGGAGTAGACAGCATGGGCCAAGGCTAGCCCGTTCACTGTGCAAGAAGGGGTTTGCAGAGGAAGTGCAAAGTATTGTGGGATTCTGGGGAAATGTAAGTTAACTTGAATCTGCAGGGGATCTGCGACAGAAGTTCAATAAACTGATTTAACCTAAATCAATTAAGTCTTATTCTACATCCATCCAGATTTATCTTCAACTAGTTTTGGCCATTTTGAAAGCAGTTTATGTGCACTAAACTTCTGTTATGTTATAAATTTGAACCAGTTTCCCATCACATACACTGGTTTCTGTGTAATTTCTGTTTTATAGTTTCATAGTTGGTAGGGTCAGAAGGGACCTGAGCAGATTCATAGATTCATAGATTCATAGATTAAGGGTCGGAAGGGACCTAGTAGATCTTCTAGCCCGACCCCCCGCCAGGGCGGGAGAACAACAAAAAACCCCAAAAAGAGAAATGGGACTCAAATGAGTCCAGCCAGGTAGGCATCCAGCCTCTTCTTAAAGACCCCCAGGGTAGGGGCCAGCACCACTTCCCTTGGAAGTTGGTTCCAGCTCCTAGC